CATATATACATAATATATAAATATATAAAAATATATGAAAAATTGATGTGGGTACTCAAATGAAAGGTCTCGATGAGTGTAACATCGGGATGAGCTTATATCTTTAAAAATATAAATAATAAGGAAATGATCTAGTATCTTGTAAAATGTTGACATTTTTAAAGATATAAGCTCATTCTGATGTTACACCCATCAAGAGCTTTCATTTGAGTACCCACATGCATTTTCATATATTTTTCATATATACATATATATAAATATATAAAATATGAAATGTCTATCTAGAGTTAATAAACGTTCCAATGTACAACCGGCTATTTTCCAGTAATATTAAAAAACATACTTAAATTAATGACGACAATTGTAATTGATACCTTTCTCCCCTCTGCACAGTAAAAAAATTACACATTAATCTTAACTTTCTTTTTTTGCTTCTTTTTATCTGGAATAGCTTCATTTCTTTTTTTTGCAATACAAAAACTGCAGTACCAGTTCTCATTAGACGCCGGAGGAACATGCATGCCAATACAAATCCAGTGATACCAGGCATCACACTCGTCGCAGCCAATCATGGGAGTTCCATCATCTTGCTTGCCACAAGTAGGACAGATCCAAATCTGCTTGCCATCCGGACCAATAATAGTAGCAGCAATAACGGGAACTACTTCTTTATGTTTTTCGGCTGCCTTTTCAGCCTTGAGGGCTTTCTTGGCATCACTGGGCGACTTAACCTTTTTAACCTTCTCCTTGAGAGGTTTTTCCTTAACCAGAGAAGAAATAGCCAGACTAGTAGTAGCCTTGGGCTCTTCGACTTTCTTCGGTAGCGGCTTGAAAGTGATCTTCTTAATCGGATTTTCCGGAGTCGGAGGTCTGACCGCGATCGAGTCGACCTTGAGAGTGAGTTTAGGAATAACTTCTTCCTTGTCTTTATCTCTCTCCTTCTCCTTATCTTTCTCCTCCTTCTTCTCCTTCTCCTTTTCCTCCTTTTCCTTTTCCTTTTTCTCCTTGCGCTTTTCTTTCTTCTCCTTATCAGTTTTTTCCCTGTGCTTTTCCTTCTTTTCCTTTTTCTTCTTAGCCTTGTCCTTCTTATCAACCTTGTGCTTCTTCTTCTTATCAGGCTTCTCAATTTTCACCACAGGATGGGCAGGCAGACTTTCCGCAGCCTTATTAATTCCCCTAATGGGCATCAAGTCCACCGGAGGTGGCTTAATGTCCTCAATAATCTCTATTTCTCTCTCCCGCTCGACCTTGATCTGCTCCGGAAGCAGCCTCGGCTGTGGCAGAGGCATCCTTGGGATCAGCGGGTGGTTTATCGGGTACGGAATTAGCCCCGGGCCGGGAGGAAACGGCGGAAATATTGGGAACGGTATTCCCGGTGGAATCATCGTGTCCTTCGGCAACAAACTGTCCGGAGGCTTGAACTCAGGTGTCTTTGGCCGGTCCATCTTCCTCACTATTTCCTGGTCAGATATTATTCCCGGGACTTTTATCTCCGGAGTTTTGGGAACTGTGGGAGTTCGCGGTGGTGACATGTCGCTGATAAATGTATCAGGACTCCGGATATCAACAAAATCGACATCAATATTACTTTTCACTTTCTCTTTTTCTCCATGGTCAATTTTAACCACAACTGGCTCGTCGTCTATCTCATCAACAATAATCTCCGGTGAGCTTTCGCGAGACACCAGTTCCTTAACTTTAACCTCAGGAATATCAGGGACCTTGTTGTGTTCCTGAGCCTTTGAAATTTTCTTAAAAATTGTCAGCTTTTGCTTATCAGGTTCTACGGGTAATTTTTTAATATTATCATTAAAACCAACCGGAGGTTTTTCAACAGGAACTTTCAGAGGAAATTTTCTGGGCCGGCCTACTGGACCCTTGGGAGGCTTCGGAGTCGCATTTTTACCCTCGGCTTTCTTCGGTTTAACAGTCACCATTTTATCAGCTTTAAATAATTCCTGCTCGCGGATTTTTTTCTTGCTTTCTTTGTCACCTTTTTGGTACTCTAATTTTTTCTTGACAACCTTCTTTTCTTTTTCTTTCTCCTTCACTTTTTCCGGCTCTTTTTCTTTTTCCTTGGGCTTGTCAACCGGAAGTTCGCAAGGGTTCATGGGATAGGAGACGGCGGGAGGCGAGTCGGAGCGAATCTGTGCCGGAGTCCGGGATTCAGGTAATTTACCCTCGCGAGCAGGCGACAAAAACCCAGAAGTTGTCATCATGACACTCTGGATCTCTCTCAGGGTTTTGGTTTCGTCGCTGAGTTTGATACGCTTGTCAGGGGCGAAGCTGTCGAGCAGAGGATCTCCAGGTCGCTTCATCACGTCGGACACTGGGTTTTTAATCACTGCGCTCATGTGGTTCTCAACAGCCGGCCCGACCATCGGAGTGGTCTGATTGGTGTTCACGTTTTCGTCGTTCTCGAAGCTCACTTCTTTCTTGACTGGTTCAAGCTCCTCCAGCTTGGGGTACATTGGCGGCAAGTACTCCGGAATGTGCATTGGACGCTTCAGCACCTCCCGGCTTCCCGGTTTCATGAAGTTCAAATGGTCCTCGCGGGGTATAGGGTACTTGGGGACTTGGATCGCGCAAGGAATCGACCCCACGTTCTCGACGTACTCTGCCAGTTGGCTCAGGTCGATGTTCATGTGCTGAAATGCCAGGCCTACGTCGTCCAGGTTTACTTCTGTGCGGCCCAACACTTCGGCGTACTCGTGAGAAACGTCCGCCAGTTGCCATAAGTACTCGTGCAACAAGTCTACCATGAATTCCAAAGGTGTTGAATGAATTGATCGCCATCCTATTGATTGACAGATCTGCGCCACGATTACTTGCAGCACTCCTCTTGAATATTCAGCCATTTTTTCTTTCTGGTAATTATAAATAATACTAAAGTTAGACGAGGTTTTAGATTTTTTTTTTAATCATTTAATTAGAACTAAAAAATATTTTTTTTAAATTGCACGTGTAGTTTTTCGAATTTTTTTGAAATGAAATTTTTTTAATTAAAAAAACTAGCAACCTTGCAGTCACTATGTGACTGCCGTGACTTGTGAACTATAAATAAATGAAATTTTGCGTTATTAAATAATGACTTTTGTTAAATTGCACTGTACTTTTTTAACTATTGACGTTTTTAAA